GGGAGGCAGGGCTGGGGCGGGAAGGGCTTACTTTGAGCAGCTCCCAGTCCGCGGTGCAGCAGGGGGGTTAAGGCAGCTTCCTGCCTCTCCTGGCACCACAGACCACATGTGCCCCAGAAGAGGCTGGCAGGCGGTTCCCAGCCAATGGGAGCGTGGAGCTAGTGCTCAGAGCAGGGGCAGCGTGTGGAGCCTTGTGCGCTCCCCTCACCTAGGAGCCGGGCCTGTTGCCATCCACTTCTGGGGTGCAGCGCAGTCTGCAGTGCCAGGACAGGAAGGGAGCTGCTTTAGCCCCCCTGCAGCACCAAGACCCAGCGCCTGCCCTACCACCCCCGCAGTGCTGAGTCACAACCCCTAATTTGAAAACCACGGCCTTATACTTTCCCAACATGCCTCAGTCAGGACCAGGGAGAGGTTGGATCCAACTGGCTGGAAAGTCTCTGCTCAGTGCATCAATGCAACAGGAAGTGGCGAGGGTAAGTTAAGTGGCGGCAGGCTGCCTTCGGCACCAGCCCTGACCCAAAAGGCTCAGGATGGCAGAGTTGTTCAGATGTAATACAATTAATAGGGATTCTCAGCACCTGTGATCATTCCAGATGACAAATGTCTCCTTTCAAACTGCGTTAACCCACAGGGGCAGGCTGCTCAGACTCCTGCCTCGTGTCATTCTGTTTCTCTAATTGCCCCTGCAGGGGGACAGGATATTGTATGTGTCATTGCCTGACCTCTAACAGGTAGTGTGTCCAGGGTCTATGAATCAGCTTTGCCCCCTACACTGTATTTTATCAGGGCATTCGTGCCATGTAAGCACTGGGCTTTCCAATGCACTAAGCCTGTCTTAGCTATGACAAAGCAGCCACAGTCGTACCAAAGCCCAGTGAGAGTTCCTTACACGTTCAAACTACAACACAAAGATTAAAGTTGTCACACTTCACCTACCTTTATGCTCCTGCTATAGACAGATCCAAACTAACAGTGAAGAGGTTGGAGTGGGGAAGAAAAACAGGCAAGTGGTGTTTTACTCAAGGTCCTTTTTATAATCTAAGAACAGATGGGCTGCGTCTAGACTGGCATGGTTTTGCGGAAATACTTTTTAACGGAAAAGTTTTTCCGTTAAAAAGTATTTCCACAAAAGAGCATCCAGATTGGCACAGATGCTTTTGCGCAAAAGCATCCGTGCCCCGTATAGACGCGCTTTTGTGCAAGAAAGTTCCGATGGCCATTGGGCTTTCTTGCACAAAAAATTAAGGGGCCTGTCTACACTGGCCCTCTTGCACAAGTATTCTTGCACAAGAGGGCTTATCCCTGAGCGGGAGCGTCAAGGTATTTGCGCAAGAAGCACCGAATTCTTACATTAGATAGTCAGTGTTCTTGCACAAAATCAAGGGGCCAGTGTAGATAGCTGGAAAGTTTTTGTGCAGAAGCACGTGCTTTCGCGCAAAATCTTGCCAGCCTAGACACACCCATGGAGTGTCCGCTAAGTTGTTCATGCTGATGCTTAAACTGCTGGCATTAAGTATCAGGGTAAACACCCCAACAGAAGAAATGAGCCTATTCACAAAGATTTTTCCAGTCTCTTAGGCTATGTCTACACTTGCGGCTTCTTGCATGAGAAATATACAAAGGAGGCTAAGCATGGAATATTGCCGAGCCTCATTTGCATACCTAATGAACCACCATTTTTGCAGAAAAGGCTCTTGCACCAGAAGGAGCTGTCTACACTGCCCCTTCTTGCACAACAAAAACCCTCTTGCGCAATGCTGCTATGCTGATTATTTTCAGGAAGGATGGCATTGCGCAAGAGGATTTAACAAAAACCCTCTTGCGCGACGCTGCTACGCTGATTATTTTCAGGAAGGATGGCGTTGTGCAAGAAGGGGCAGTGTAGACAGCTCCTTCTGGTGCAAGAGCCTCTTCTGCAAAAATGGCAGTTCATTAGGTATGCAAATGAGGCTCAGCAATATTCCACAGCCTTATTTGCATATTTCTCACACAAGAAGCTGCAAGTGTAGACACAGTCTAAGAGAGCCCTCTGGCTGTTTGTGTTCTGAAGTATCTCTTTGCAAACACTGGGGCTGAAATACTGATTCAGGTGCCCAAATACCTAGCCTGATTTTCAGAGGGGCACCGCTGCATCTCATGGATTTAACATAGTAAGCTACTCAGCACCTCTGAAAAATGAAACAGGCCACTTAAATGCCTAAATATGTATTTAGGGGTCTGACTGAAGGCACCCAAGTTGGAAATTTGTGCACAAATTCTGCAGAGGAGTGTGTGGTGTGTGTGTGGGGGGGCAATATGCGCAGTGCGGCACGCCAGCAGCAATTTAAAACCATGGACCCCTTTAAATCACTGAGCCCCAAGCCACAGGGGCAGTGCCTGTGGAAGAAGGGGCAGGGCCAGCCTTCCCCCCCCAGCCAGGCAGAATGAGCCCCAAGCCACATGCCCCCTTTCCTTGCCCTGGAGCTAGCTGCAGACTCGTGTGTGCCAAGGAGCTAAGGCTTAGCACGCTGTCTCTGCCCATCTCTAGCATCATGCCCCCTTTCCTTGCCCTGGAGCTAAGGCTTAGCACGCGGTCTCTGCCCATCTCTAGCACACACACACCCTGCTGGCAGCTTCCTAAGGCAGGAGACAAAGGAGAATTTACAAGGCTAAAAACCCCAACCCTGCAATTAACAGTTCGGCTCAAGCCAAAGCCTTTCATTTGCACGTTTTGCAGCCTTTGAGAACACGCTAGTCTCTCTCAGGACTGGGTGTTCGAGTGGCAGGGGAATGCTCTTTGGACAATTGGCCTGGCCAAGATGCTGCACGTTTGGCACCAAGCTACGTGAGGTCAGCAGGGGAGCAGGCCTGGCCTGTTCCCAGAGTGGCTGGAGGCCTCCGTTTCTCCTTTGTCCTTGCTCACTGTGGAAACCCTGTTGCCCGTAAGTGGAAAATGCAGTGCGGTAGCTGAGAAGCTCTGCGTAAGCAGAAAGCTGTCTTGCCCAGCAAGGAAAACGGGGCACTCTAATTGCAGGGCTTGCAAAGTGTCTATTTCATTGGGACTGGGAGAGCTCTTAAAAGTTGTTACAGAGGGGACTAGAGAGTGGATTAGGCAGCACTTTTTCAAGCTGTGGTTTTGTTTTTATTTAAACACACAAAGATCAGAGGAAGGAAAAAGAATTTCTAATCTTGGTAAGCGTTGATAGCAGCGTGAGCACCCCCCTCCTGTGACCGTACTGCTGTGTACATCTAGGTCTGCAAAGCGCTGAGGGGACAGAGGTTCATGGTAGCACATGTACAAGAAGCTATGTAGAGAAAGCCCCATGGCTCACAAACCTCACCCCCTTCTGCACATCACATCCACCCCCACTGCCTGTAGCTTTCTCCCCTCTTGCTGGCCTCCCAGTAGCTGTACCTCAGGGCACAGCACGTTCAGGAAAAGCCATAAGACTGCTTCCCTGTAGCAGAACAGTGTTACATTTAGAACCCAGCACCATTCACTAGCAGGTGGGGAGTACCCTTAGAAACTGCCCTCTACATGTACCTTCCCACTTTTGGATTGCCAAGTATTACACATGCTGGTTGTTTTGGCTTAATCTCTTCTGGGTGGGGTTTGCAGTGTGACGCTCACCTTGCAAGGGCGGCATGTTTTACCAACCCCCCTCTGAAGGGGCTGTAGTTCGGAGGAACGGAGTGGTGCCATGTGGAGGACCATAGAAACCGCAAAGCTAACACAGGAGTTAGCCCTTTAGCAAGGAGATGCTAGAAAACCAGCTCTGTTCCTTCTTTAAGGGCACTTGACTTGAGTCTGCAGAGTGCCAGAACTGTAACCATACCCTGTCCTTCAACTACCTGCCCTTTATTTTGCAGCAGCCTCTCAGAACTGGGTACAGCTTGCCTCTCCCAGCTAGTGTGGAAATTAGTCCAAGCTCTTTACAGCTGCCAATGGCTCCAGGTGCCGGTGTAACAGAGCACAACTAGCACTGCACAAGAGCCAGGAGCTAGAACAGCTGGTTACCTGCAACTTCAGTGAGTGGAGTTGCTTGAAAGTCTGAGACTGCTGCCTCCTCAATCCATACTTCCAAACTGGTCAGTGAAAATTGTAAACGAAACTAAGGAGTCTCCAATCTAGGGCTATTCCACTTCCACTGTACTTGGTGAGTAAGGGGGCAGGGCCCAAAGAGGGGGATTCCCCACTAAATTGCTAAGCAACAGCTTACTGATTCATTCATCCAGCTTCTGAAAATGGTAAGAGGCCAGGTTGGTGGAGCTGGACAGGATAGCCTTTGGTCTCTCCTGGACATTGGGCTGTGTTCTCCAGGTACCATTAACCACCCACCTCCCGCAGGGCTGCCCCAGACATACTAAGGCAGACATGCCAGCAGCCTTCGGTTGGAGAAGTGCTGTTATTTCAACTCAACAGCCAAGAGGGCATCTCATATTCACGCTTTTCATAGCGACATGAGCATCAGTGAAGCAGAGCCCGCTGGCAGAACCACTGCTATAGACTTCATTAGATCTCTCCAGCCTGATCGGAACATGCCGTTTTGCGCTCTAGCAACAAACCCATCATGGGCACAGTGTAGGCTGCAGCACTGACCGGGCCTGATGCTTGGTTGACGTTCAAGACTAAAATAAAATGTACTGCAAAAGAAGCCTGGAGTAAAGGGTAGGCCCTTGTGAATCTACACATCCCAAAAATGAGGTTGCCCAGCTTAAAAACCCTCAAGCTACTTTCTCTTCCACTATTACCATTTTGAAGGTGGACCCAGCCTGGAAGCATTTGAAGTTGAAAGTTCATCCATGAAACTTGTCAGATTGGGACTGAAAAAACCCCTGCAGGGACTGGAAAACCCCCCTGCAGAGTCATACCAAGTAAGTTGCTTTGGACTGCTGATCCCAAGCTTTTCCCTTACAGATCACTCTCCCATCGCCTGTCAACACCAGAGGGACATTGGAAGCACTAGTGTCATGCCCAGGCCATTCTGAGGTTGCAGCATTCAGTCAGAGGGAAGGAGTTAGCAGGTTTAAAGCAATAATTCTGCCTTTACTGTTCAAGTACCAGAATCACAAAAATCAAACCATACAGCAGCCAGACATTGCTCTATACAAGGAAGACAGATGAAGGGTTAAATCTTCAGGGCTCATTGGCCTCGATACAAAACTGCTAGTGACCTTCTGTCAGAGGCCCCCCCCCCCCCCCCAAACCCTTCAGGAAGTTTCTCATCCTTTCCTATGATTTAGTCCCTTTTTAAAATGCAAACAGAACTGCCCAATCCCAGCCGAACACAGCACATGCACTGCAGGTACCCAGAAGAAATAGCTGCCACAGGCGGAGGCCCACTTAAGCTCACAGCCCATAGTCGCACGCCTCCGGACTGTTCTTGACATACAGCTCAAAAAAGCCTTGCAGCGTTTGAGAGTCAGTCACCGTAGCCTTGACGGCAGGATCGTTCTTCATGGCTTCCACCCAGCGCCTGAGCTTGGGGGCATGCTGCAGACCACTGTGGGAACAGGAAAAGGGATGAATGAGCAGAGGGGAAACTGGATGCTGAATATTACTGTTCGTATTGCCTTCCCCTCCCTGAAGAGGAAATCCAAAACCGACAGAGGCAATACAGTTCAGGCCACAATGCAAGGAGAAGGGCCTCTAAGTGCATCTGCACTGCATTTCAAACCCCCACATACTGAGCCTCCAAACTTGGGCTTCCAGAGTTGTGTGTAGAGTTGTTTGGGCTCGGGGTGGATCTCAAGTTGTGAAACCCACTCCCTTCCCCTGGCTTCAGAGCCCACGCTCAGCATCGCCACCGGTTTTTAGTGCCACCCCTCAGGTTCCCCCCTGCTTGGAGAATTGCAGCCACGAATTCAAAATGCAGGCCATACCCTGTAAGGCTGATCATCTTTATGGAGCTGCGGCTGCATCACCACTACTTCTGGAGCCCCGACCAAGGCTAGGTCTACACGCGCAGCTTCTTGCAGGAGAAATATGCAAAGGAGGCTAAGCATGGAATATCGCCACGCCTCATTTGCATACCTAATGAGCTGCCTTTTTTGCAGAAGAGGCTCTTGCGCCAGGAGCTATCTACATTGCGCCTTTCTCATGCCAAAAACCCCTCTTGTGCATTGCCTTACACAGATTATTTTCAGGAATAACGACATTGCACAAGAGGGTTTTTGTTGTGCAAGAAGGGGCAGTGTAGATGCTCCTTCTGGTGCAAGAGCCTCTTCTGCAAAAAAGGCAGCTCATTAGGTATGCAAATGAGGCTCGGCAACATTCCACACATCCTCATTTGCATATTTCTCATGCAAGAAGCCTGAGTGTAGACCTAGCCTAAGAGAGGTTCCTAGTGTGCTGTATCTACCATCCTTTAGAAATTCTATTCTACTCGGGAACGGTGGCCGGGGGAGGGGGGATGTATGCCATCCTCTACTGTAGAGAGACTGTTTCACTGGAGTAGAGGTGGAAGATAATCACATTACACTGGCTGCTTGTGTGGGTCAGACATGCCCATCACCCCCTATCCCAACATATCCCCTTCTTGCCATCTCAAGAGCCCCTTCTGCCCATACATCTTGTTTCCAAATAACTCGTCAGTCACTGCTGGCCTGTCACTGGTCAGAGTTTCTGGGTAAATGCACCTTCCCCACTGAGTGCCAGTCAACTCCAGCCGCTATCCCGCCCCAATCCCTGGGCAGGGACACTGGCCCACTCCCTTTGGACCAGGGGAGGGTTTTTAAGCTGCACCACTTCCTGCCTTGGAGATACGCAGATTGGCACGCTATGGCTACAGGCCAGTGCCTGGGCTCTGCCTTCTGAGGGCTCTGAATGTCTTCCCCACAGTTACAAGTTAGACAGCTCTCACGGCAAGTTTTATTCATAAGGAAAATCCATTACAGAACCACCCCACAACACACCAAACAAGCCTCCCAGGAGACACCCATCAGCAGGACCAAGTCTTTCCAACCCTTCCAGAAGAGGTGGGGGGCCCCTGCAGCAGAAAGGGGCCACCCTCTTTTGACCCCTTTGCTGGATCAGAAAAAAGGCCCCAAGCCAGGTTAAACAGCTATTTTATCAGAGGCCCTTTCTTTGCCTTGTTGAAACTGGGTCTCCAGAAATCCATCTGTGTACACAAGCCTCCAGCTAGGATGATACCACTTTACAACAGCTATTTTATCAGAGGCCCTTTCTTTGCCTAGTGGAGTTCTGGAGACCCCGTTTCAATCTGTGTACACAAGCCTCCAGCTAGGGTGATACCGCTTTATAGGTGGCAAATAACCCTCCCTTCTGGAGTTGTGTACAACACCTGGCCCACAAGGAATACAATATGGTCCCCAAAGACACAGCATGGGGCTGATATTGCCATCCAAACCATGCATCAAAAGCCACACCCTGTTTGCTATCAGGCTATGTCTACACTGCAGCACTTTTCTGGGCTATCCAGAAAAGCTATCCCAGAAAAGCTATGCCATGTTCAAGGAATGCATTTGCTTTACCAAAAAAAATTTGGTAAGGCGGACATATTTTCACCCTCTCTGTAAGCCTTGTTGTGTGAGGAAGAGCTATGTCTACACTGCAGCGCTTTTCTGGGCTATGCCATGTTCAAGGATTGCATTCACTTTACCAAACAAAATTTGGAAAGGTGGACATTTTCACCCTCCCTGTAAGCCTTGTTGTGCGAGGAAGGGATGTGCCAAAAGAGGTTTTTCTGGTATTTTGCACCATGCAGAGGTGCCAAATTTCAGAAAAACCTCTTCCAAAAGACAAGTCAGAAAAAGATGCGCAGATTGCAATCCGCACCGTGCAGAGGTGCCAAATTTCAGAAAAACCTCTTCCGAAAGAGAGGTCAGAAAAAGATGCGCAAATTGCAGTCTGCAATTTGCGCATTTTTCCAACTTTTCTTTGTAGTATAGACACAGCCTCATGCAGACAGTTAACAGCTACCATTGCTAACTTTCTCCCTTCTTACCCCCCGCCCCCGAATATTCTGCACATTAGAGCTTGCAACTTGCAGTCAGCTAGTCCAATGCTTCTTCTGCACATCTCCCATCTGACAGTGAACTCAGCTCTTAAAATGAATCTAAGTGCCTCTCCCTAGGAATAAGGCCATGCTAGTAGCACCTCTCCTCTCCATCTGCACATCTTAATCCCAAAGGAGAAGCTAAGTTGCTTGCTGGCTTTAGCCCTTGCTTCTGGTGCCAGAGGTCATGAGTTTGGATGCTAGGGTCTCCTTATATCTTCACAGAAGGATTGGGGAGGTAACTGGGAACTTAAGAGAATGGGGTTCAACTCTCTGCTCTCACAATCACTGGGAAGTCACTCCGCTCCCCACCTGTACAGTGGGGGATGACAGACCTTTACTGTGCAGGGAGCATTCATATATTAAAAGTTATGTGGGGCTTGAGCTGTGGCAATGGGTGCCCCACAAGCCAAAGGTTCACTGTGTGAGGCTAGCTGCACTACTCCTGCAGAACTTCAGGAGACCTGATTTCAATAGGGTAGGGTCCCTTCCGGTACACAGTGAAGTCCTGGTGAATCGCAAAGGCTAGAAGGTGGAACTGTAATACAGCACATCCCAACAAAACCCATTCCACTGCTCTGATCAAGTCATTTACTTGTTCCCATAACACAGGAACTAGGGGGTCACCAAATGAAATAGGTAGCAGGTTTAACACAAGCCGGAGGAAATATTTCTTCATACAATGCACAGTCAACCTGTGGAACTCCTTGCTGGAGGATGTTGGGAAGAGCAGGACTTTAATAAGGGTCATAAAAGAGCTAGATACATTCATGGAGGATAGGTCCATCAATGGCTATTGCCAGGATGGGTAGGAATGGTGTGTCCCTAGTCTCTATAAGGCGCTGGGAGTGAATGACAGGAGATGGATCACTTGATTCCCTGTTCTGTTCATATCCTCTGGGGCACCTGGCATTGGCCACTGTCCGAGGACAGGGTACTGAGCTAGATAGACCTTTGGTGCGGCCATTCTTATGTTCTTATTTCTAGAGAGTTTTCACCTTCCATTCACAATCTAAGCAGGAGTGTTCTCCACTGGGGTAATTTAGAGTTAATTAGAAGCTTACTTGAAAATGGTACCGTCCATAAAACGTTCGAGCACTTACTCAGGCAACTGGAAGAATTCCAGGCGTTCAAACCAAGGCCAGATCATGTAGTCAATCATGGACACAGAGTCCCCACCAAAGAACAGTGTCTTGCGACCGGCTAAAATCTGCCGAGGACAAGAGGCAGCATTTCACATTAAGAATAAGAGTTACATGGGAAAGCCCTACAAAACCAGGTTATGTTGCACAACAAGAGCCAGGGAGGGAGGGAGGGAGATGGACAGGAGAGCGACTGCAGAAATGGTGCCTTGTCGTCTAGATGAAGGATTCTTAGGGAGCCAAGTCAATCACTGACAGCTCCAGTATCAGTTGAGCCCCTTTACATCATAGGTTCCCAAATTGGGGGGGTGCCCCCCTGTGGGGTGTGAAGAAATTCCAGGGGGGTGTGACCCAGCCCCCCCTCTCCCCTTCAGTCCTCCCCCAAGGATGGAGCATTCCAGGCAGACTTCAAAATGGCCACCTTAAAAGTGCATCTTTTTTGGTCCACTGGTCCCAGGAATTAAAGGGGCCATGCCTGTTTCTCTGCCCTGGTCAGTTCCCCCCGCCCAAACAAGTTTTGCTGCTATTTTTTGGAGGAAGGCATGAGGATCTCAAAAAATCAAAAAGGGAGCATCATGCTGAGAAGTTTGGGAACCACTGCTTTACATGACAGCAGGATTCTATTTAGCTCAAATGCAAGAGGAGCGGCAGAATCTGGATTACTGGCAGTTATGCACAGTCCCATGCAGAACAGTCTTCTCAGCTCCAGGTGGCCAGGCTGGCAGTTAGAGACTGGTTTAAACTAGCAGTCCTGATGTATGCACCAAGACAGAGATGGCAACCAACCGCCCCCTCCTTCCACACATGCTGCAGCTGTGCCATAAACCTAGTAAGCTAGAGCATGGGTTCTAAACGGGGGGCTGTGAAGAAATTCCAGGGGGACATGAGGCAACCCAACCTCTAACCTCGCCTCCCCCATCAAGTTTTGCTGCCTTGTTCACTTCCTTATTTTGCTCAACAAATGTAGCTGCTATTTGGAGGGAAGGGGTGGGGGGGAGAAGAGAGGGCATGAGGTGTTTTTCAAAAAAGGGGGCATGATGCCAAAATGTTTGGGAACCACTGAGCTAGAGCATTAGGGTTTCAACTGTATGCGTCTCACCTTATGCCCAATTGAGGTAGCTTTGTGAATGCAGCTCTGCCAGATCACGGTCATGCTTAACCCTGTGCCAGATTCCATCCTCAGACATAGGAGCAGCAGCATCCAGCTCCGAGGAGCAGGAAGATGCACTCTTCCTAGGACAAAACTGAGCTGCTCCAGTGCAGACTTCTAAACGAGTGCAGTGTAAACAGACTGGAGCATGCCACTTTTGCTGCACCTGGAAACTGGTGAAAATCCCCAGCTTCAGATATGAGAGAAGAGGTGCACATGGCCATTCTACGGGGCCTGCTGTGGCAGGATCTGGAAGGATTTGACTTGGATTGGCAACAAGGTACCCCCAAGCCACCTAGGCATCATCCATAGTCTGATCTCATGTGCAATGTTAGGAGACTGTTCGAGTGAGGCCCGGGCAAAGCTTTGTACAGCACCTAGCACAACTGGGCGCTGCGCCACATGTACAACTCCTCCATGCTATGGGAATGTAATCGAATGAGTGCCTATGCGGCCTTCCTCCTGAAATAGCACTAGGAGGGGCCACGTCAGACTAACACCAACTTCTCATCCATGGGAAGCAGACGTTGAGTCCCCTGGCATCTCCCCTCATCACCACAACTAAGTGATCTATAAAAAGCCTCGAGCCAGCATCCAGCAACCATCTTCAGGAGCTGCCTCAGCCACCAGGTGCCAGACAATAACCAGATGTTAGTACAGCACTTGAAAGACTAACAAGATGGTTTGTTAGGTGATGAGCTTTCGTGGGCCAGACCCACTTCCTCAGATCAATTTGGGGAAGAAAATTGGCCCAACCATATATACCGAAGTGATACAAACAAAAAGTGAACACAAAATTGACAAATCAGAGTTTAGAACAGAGGGGAAGTGAGGGGAGAAGGTTAGTTCCCCTCTGTTCTAAAATCTGATTTGTCAATTTTATGTGTTCACTTTTTTGTTTGTATCACTTTGGTATATATGGTTGTGCAAATTTTCTTCCCCAAATTGATCTGAGGAAGTGGGTCTGGCCCACGAAAGCTCATCACCTAATAAACCATCTTGTTAGTCTTTCAAGTGCTGCATAGTCCTGTCTTTTGTTTCAGCTACACCAGACTAACACGGCTGCATCCCTATTTCAGACCTTAGTAGTTTCATAAAGATGTGAACACAGCTCCCTCTGGTGGGCAGCAGCGAGCAGGACAGGACATTTCAGCTCTTGGAACAGACTGAACAGTGTTTGTGTGACTGGATCCTCCTTATCACCCATAGCTTAGACTGGGATTTAAGCCCCGGCAACAGAGCAAGTCTCCCCATTACTTGCAAGTCTATATACACAACTAGAAAATCCTTCCAAATTTTTGGAGCAGCAAGCACCTTGCAGCAAGATTTGGGGTGGGGGGTACATTAGCTCTTCCATCTCGTGAGCTGCACAGAGAAAGGCTCAAGTGCTGTTCAGAAAAAGATCTCAAAAAAGATATTTTGGCATTAGAAAAGGTTCAGAATAGAGCAACAAATGATGAGGGATCTGGAACGGGTCTCATGAGGAGAGGCTAAAGAGACTGGGACTTTTCAGTTTAGAAAAGAGAAGACGGAGGGGGGATAGGATAGAGGTCTATAAAATCATGAATGGTGTAGAGAGGGTGAAAAAAGAAAAGTTAGTCATTAGTTCCCATAATATAAGGACTAGAGGACACCAAATGAAATTAATGGGTAGCAAGTTTAAAACTAATAAGCAAAAGTTCTTCACAGCACACAGTCAACCTGTGGAACTCCTTGCCAGAGGAGGCTGTGAAGGCTAGGACTATAACAGTTTAAAAAAAGAGCAAGATAAATTCATGGAGGTTAGGTCCATAAAAGGCTATTAACCAGGGGGTAAGGAATGGTGCTCCAGGCCTCTGTTTGTCAAAGGCTAGAGAAGGATGGCAGGACACAAATTGATCATTGTCTTCGGTCCACCCCCTCTGGGGCATCTGGCTTTGGCTACTGTCAGCCGACAGGATACTGGGCTAGATGGACCTTTGGTCTGACTCAGTATGGCCGTTCTTATGTTAGAGTGTGAAGCATTTGGAACTGGGGCATTAGCGCAGCTCACTGACAGGTTAGATGGAGGTACCCGAGAAACAGGGACATGGGAGGGGTGTGCAGCAAGGCAGCTTCTTGCTCAAGGGAGGATTTTTGCTGGTGAACAAGCAGTCCTGCCAATCAGAGCCAGGTATGGTTTTTGGGGGTTGCTTTATTTCTAGAAGGCCACAGGCCTCAGACCCACAAGGGCGTTTGTTCATTCCGACAGTCCTATTTTAAGGAATCCTGTCAGAGAGACAGTAGGAAACCCATCAGCACATCTTCGTCAAAGAACCATTGACAGCCCCGCAGGTGAACAAAAGCCAGCACCCGAGGTAAAAGTAAATTAAGATCCCCACTATATAGACCCAAAGCCGCCTGTTGCAGCGCCGCTGATGAGGGCGGCAAACTGTTGCACTAGCAATAGGGATGTAAAATCCTGTTTAATTAGTTAAATGTTAAGTTTAACTGATTAAAACGGGGCCGGCAGGGGGTTGCTCCAGCCTGGCTGGGCAGGCCCTCCCCCCATACCTGCACCTGTCAGGGCTGGAGGCTGCTCCACTTCCCCCCCCTCCCCTTTCCCCGCTCGCAGCAGGCCCCATGGGACTGCAGCAGGCCCCATCAGTTAACTATTAGTATCCCTAACTAGCACATGGTCCATAGCTGGAGTTTTGCGGAGTCCCCGAAGCCAGACTTATTTGGCAGACGTGGTTAAGGCACATCAGTTTCACAACCAGCATCACATTCAGCCACCTGCGACTTCCCTGCTGCAGTGAGTCAGGTATACAGGTCACCTCGCTGTGAAATCGAGTTGGAGATCAAGGGAGACAGACTCACGAGCCTCAAGATTCAAGTGCCTTAACCACTCAGCCACCAGCCCTTCAGAGAAGGGACTGTATTCCATGGGAAGGGTCAAGGAGAAAGGACAATAGCTCTTAGAATAGAGGGTGCCAGACACTAAAAATATAACCCTAACATTGCTGTACCCATCTCTGTCACCACAAAAATATCAGAGGGACTTGGCGGCGGACACACGAACACACCGGGGTTGTAACAACTCAGTCTGAAAGCTCTCTGGCCTCAGAAGGCAGGAGACAAAATATAGCAGATGTGGCTAGTCCTTAGTTTTGCGCCACCCCTCTCTCCTACCAAGTCTACCACGGCGTTCACAATTCAAAGCCCTAGTTTAAACTGTGCCACTTAGCCATTGCCATTTTCTATGCCACCCCTCACTGAGAGGGGAGTAAGTTACAGGGCCATAGTTAGAACGTCTGAAATGAGAGACGGAGACAGAGAGCCCACCGTCTGCAAGCAGAAGAGGACTTCCATTTACCATAGGTTACAGACAGTGCCGCTTCTTACCTGCTCAAATTCGCCAATCTTCTCAATGAACTCTGCTTTCAACGCTGAGCTGTCCTCCCCACTTTTAACGGCAAGGAGATATTTGAAGGCTAGAGGTGACAACTGAACAAGCCAGAAAAGACAACGTTACAAGAGGAGGACTTCCTTGCAGAAGGGAGAGTTTTATTTCACTACAGGAATAGTCACACGTCACTTTAAGGATCTGGACTGAAGTATCTGAAATCAATGGAAGTTAGATGCCTGAACAGGATCTGGGCTTTAGTGCTTAAATTTAGGTTTTACTTAAAAACCAAAAATCCCCACACTACACTATATAAAGCCTAATAGCGACAGACATGTTCTCTTTCTGTTACAGAGAAAGGCAGGTTACAAAGAACGTAAAGGCTATTCTGAAGGGTTGTAATTGTTCGGGAGAATCCGAAGAGGGAAACTCACTGATCAAGCTGCCTAGGGTACAAAAAACTGCAATAAAAATGGCGAAATGCAAATTTTGACATTCTAATGACAATTTTGAAATTCCAGTAAATGTTAATAGAAAAGGGTATTAAAATGGACCGATTTAGACACTTAAAGAGACAGTATAGGCCTTTTTCTCCAAGAACTTTGAGAAGTTAGATCATATTGTAACTCGTGACAAGTATTAGTCAAGTGTATTTAGCTCTTTTAAAGCTTCCATTTGGCTTCCAAACAGTGTACAGACCTATGCTTTGAGGAATTATCCTAGTTACGATTTGAGAGTGGCACTGATGCCAGCATTCACCCCGTTGGCCGCCCTGGCTTCGGGCAGGTCTACAGGCTGTGGCAAAGCATGTTCTAATTGCCCCATGGAGCCTACTGATGCATTCCAAAAGGTCTCATTCCTGTGTAATGCAATTTGATCCAGGACTGTATTAATGCAAACAAGGCATCCTTCAGAATACGCCAGCAGGGTTTACACGGGGCAGTTAGAACACCGCATATTAGACCTCTTAAACCCACATGCTGCTCCCCGCCCTCATCACACACACCCTTCCCTTACCTCTCGGACACACTTTGCTGCACCATGCAGACAAGCCCCAACACTGCTCTGCTAACCCAGTTAAACCGAATCACTGTTTGCCCTTTCTGTGGGCACCCAGACCCGCACACATCAACTAGCTTAAGAGGTCCTGCTTTCCCCTCAGGTATCCCTTTTTTCTGTCTGTCAAATGCTGGCAGAGATGCAAACAGCTTAGCAGCGTTTGCCAAGTGGCTCTATTCTAGTTAATAAAGTGATTTTTAGGCAGCAGAATCCTTAGACATGTAAAGGAACATCTAGCCTCTGCCAGTCTGGAACGGGTGACGGGGGAGGGATCACTGGATGATTCCCTGTCCTGTTCACGCCCTCTGGGGCACCTGGCATGGGCCTCTGCCAGCAGACAGGTTACTGGGCTAGATAGACCATTGGTCTGACCCCTTATGGCCATTCTTATATTACATCTACAGTGCTGCTCTCAGTCAGGTAACCAAGCCCCTACTGTACCTTGGAGAATCTTTCCAAGAGCATCCTTTGACACGCTCGCTCATAAGGGTCAGCAGGGAGCAGCTTCTTCCCGGGATAGGCTTCGTCCAAATACTCGCATGTGACTGGAGACTCATAGATCAGCTGACCCTTGCTGGTCTCCAGAATAGGCACCAAGCCAAAGGGATTCTTCTCAAAGAGCCAGTCGGGTTTGTTTTTCAGGTTGACGTTGACTGTTTCATGCCTGAAGCGTTCGAGACACAAAGCAAGATCGGCTTGTTTGTCAGCTCAGTCCAGTAAATTGCAAAGGAAGCAATAGTGTTGACCTGGGACCGGTAGGGGGGGGGGGGCAGGAGAGAGAGAGGAGAAAGCAGGCAGACACCCCCAGGGATTTACCACCTCCCCTTTCTTCAAGTCCGGATGGTCGTGCAAGACTGCCATGTTCTGGGGCTTCTAATATGGCATATTAGGAATCACAGTCCAGCAAGGAAAGAGGAAGAGTACAGGTGACTGGTAGCACTCTGGAGGTGCACTACACCCACACACACCACCCAGTCTCTGCCAAAGTTTGGGGTGTGAATGGTTAACCAGGGTGAGGGTCAGGAGCAGCTCCCTGCCTACCCCAGCCAGTGTGCTGCTCTAGCCCTGCAGGCAGGGGCTGATCTAGGCAGCTGGAGCAGCCCATCTGTGGCAAGCTAGGCTCTCCTGCCACAGCTTACACACTGGCTCCCTGGAAGCCAGCTTCTGCTATATAAAAGCAATATATGTGTTATATATTAGAGCCCTTCCCCCACATAGCTGCCAGGATTTTTAGCAGTTATATTTTAAACGTCTTTACGACCCTAGCCAAATACTAGTTGCTAAATGGAGTGCCCCACATGCTCCCTCCCTGTTCCTCTTGGTGGCCCTTCCCCATACTCCCTTCCCCTGCAGGCTCCAGTCATCTATGACTAAGGCATTGTCTACCTTAGCACATTGTTGCCAAAAATTGCCTTTTGTCAAAAAAACAGAGCATTTACACTGCAATGTGACTAGTCGGGAAAAACACCCAGTTTGGACAACAAAAAACTCCCCACCCCTTAATGTCAACACAGCCAGGATGGACTTTGTTTGTTTTGTTGAGAGAACTGGCTTCCACCAGTATCCCACCATGCCTGCCCTGATGGCTGTGCTCAGTGTTCTGTGATCTCTGCTGCCCTACAGGCATGTGCCCTTCACCCTTCAAAGCTCCAGGAAGCATCTGACAGCTGAGTGAGCTGCTCCCTTTGGGGAACAAACAAAGAACAAATCATTGCAATGTTCCTGTTCTGCCCTGCTAAACACAGCGGCAGACAGACTGCTGTTGCAGGGGGAGAGCTGGAGAGACTGCCGTGCTGCTTTGCCATTCCTCAGCATGGAGTGCTCAGAGTGAAGAAGGAATCCCAAGAAGCACAGGGATCCACTCTGCTTTCCCAGGACACTGCACTGTGAGATGCTTACCCACATTGCTTTGCTCTGTCAACAGGGTGCCAGCAATGTGGCCATGAAATGTCAACAATGGGAGGCAGAAAAACTGGTTTGACTGGTTTCCACTTTTGGCAACTTTTGCACGTCCACAGTACTTCTGTCACCAAACCTTCCCAGTGTAGACCTCGCCTAAGAGCTCCCCTTTGTTAAGCCAAGTCCTACCCAAATACAAGGACAAAGCAGAGAATGACACCTTGGACAGCAGGGTGGGGAATATGAGTCTCTGCCAGGCTGTATCTCTGGAGCCTTTCAAGTTACTGGAACCTGTTGGCATATAGGCACAGCCCCACCTTGGGGTCCCTAAGTATGCACAGGTTTTATCTGGCACCCCACACCAAGTGGGGAAAGTCAGCTGTCCAACTGCACCACCCTCCTGAGCGCAGCATTGACACTTCATGCTCCCAGGACGTTAAGTCGACCTCTCCCCCAAAAATTTACCCTCCAGGCTGAAGTTTAACTGACTCCAAGAATCAAGCACATGGGCTAGTCTGATCTCTATGCCCGTCACTTCAGAATACGGATTACACAAACCTAGCATCCTAAATAGAACGTCTGTCACTAGGTCACCTTTCCCTTGGGAATCCTTAGAGGCAGGCAGAATCCTCCACTCACTCGCCTACCCCGCCCCTACAGAGGCCTCCTTCTCCTTTCCCCCCCTCTTCCCCAGGAGTTTTTAAAGACTTCCAATAGGATGCAGCTATTTTGTGCTGCTGCAGTAATTTTCCATTATTTTCCACTACCACCCTGCCATCCCCCTTCACACACAATAGGAAAGGGTGCCTCCTCCCAGCTGCAGGAAACCCAATCGGCAAGGGGTATTACTTAGAATAGGCCATTGAATGCTGCTCACCATTGTCTCTGCTAGGCTAGAGACATAACACCCCTGCTCAGGGTGGATCCATATTAAGAAGGTGAAAAAGTAGCCAAGTTAACCAGTTACCTGGTGAGCCTCACCCATTAACCATTACCCGGGTGTTAGCTGTATGGACAATGTAAAATCAAAATGGAGTCTGTACATGAAAGAACCATTCAAAATGGAACCCAAGTGACTTTGCCACCAAAACACCACCTTTGCTCACAGCACCTGGCTATGCTCACAGCACCACCAAGCTGCACATGGCACTGAACGTGCACAAGGCCCCAAAGATTTTGCACTGGGTACACCTTGCTTTTGCACTCGGGACCTTCCGACTTTTCCCACCTTCCCCTACCATCCTGGAGGAGAGTCGTTCCATTGTTGAAGACCGTGGTGAAGGCCCAGTCCGGTGACAGACCAGACCGGCCTCCGCTGCTGCCCACAGGGTGCTTTGGTCCACAGCTGTAGCAATAGCTCAGCGAGCCTCAGCTACCTGCTTCTACCCACACCATCGGGATTGGGACCACAGAGCTCCTTCCATCATTCTGTGCCTGCTGTGGCAGAGGCCCCTCAAAGCAGCCAGAACTGCTCTACCTGCAATTCAGACTGTACACTGGTCCACCAGCCAGAACTGCTCTACCTGCAATTCACAAACTGTACACTGGTCCACTGTGAAGGCAGGAACTAAGCAGTGAACTGAACTGTTTGCCATACCACCGTTAACACTGGAGCATCAAGACGCCTCAGTGTTCCTCCCCTGAAAGCTACCACCAGCTAAAGCAGTGGTCCCCAACCTTTGGGGCTGCTGGGCGCCTGGAGGTGGGACCACCCATGCATCACACTCCCGGGGGCGGGGCTGCTCCTGTGCCACATGCCCAGGAGCCGGGACGCCCATATGCCACATGCCTGGGGCAGGCACAGCCCTTGCACCGTGCACTTGGGGGTGGCCCCACCCACACGCTGCGCACCGGACACCACGTTGGGGACCACTGAGCTAAAGGATTGAAGGTCCTGAGCCTCAAGCTGCCACAGAGAGACGAGTATAATTTTCTGCTGTTTGTTATATCTACTTTGTTTTCTATTATATCAGAGGGTGAGTGGTTGTTTTGTTCTTTTAATCTGTTCAGTGTTCGTAATCCATTGTGTTAACTTACCCTTTATCGGTTGCACTTCACAATATACACGGTTATATCTGAACACTATACGTGTCTGTTTATTCAGACTCGAGCTGAGAAACCTGCCGGTGACAGATACGGTGGTTTCCAGGTCGGGCCATCTTCTGGGACAAAGGCATTTAACATGGTTTAAGATCTGGCCCATTAACTTTAGTTTACTAGTGTGCCTCTGCTGGTAACGCGGGAGTAGCCCTGTGTGGGCTAGAAGTCGGCAGCCTTGGGAGGGAGGGGGAAGGCTGCCGGTGCGAGTCAGAAGGCTCCTGTGGGGCAGAAATAGCAGTGGGGGAGGACCCTAAGCCCCTCCCCCACCCACCGTCTGCATGAGGCTGCTGACCCCAACCCTCTCCAGGCTGGGAGCCAGCAGCCTGGCAAGGCTGGAGGTGTCCCTGCCCGCAGTGCAAGGGCCACGCGATGGCTCTAGCCCAGCAGGCTAGAATGGCCCACCTCTGTTTAATTAGTCAACTGGTTAAATGTTAAGTGTAACTGGTCAACTCATTAAACAGGATTTTAAACCCCAAGTCTACATGCATATAGGCTTCATGTGACAGCAGTTTCATGATGCCATGTCAGAGTTATCCACAACTCACAAGTTGCATAAGCAGAATCCCAAATTTGTCCGTCACGTAAGCAGCAGCCATTGTAAAAGCAGTTAAGCTCCGCGAAAATATGGTCCCCATTCAGACTGCATGTGCTCTTGCAACACTCCCGTTATGTGCACAGGAGGAAAGAGGCAGGACTCACATTCTGGAGTAACATCCTGCAATAAAATTTTATGCTCCAAAGGGAAAATAGACTATTTTTTCTAACCTTTGTTTTTTTATAAATGAACAAGATTTGTGCATACTGGAGATTTTTTAGAAGTCAGTTTAATTAACCTGGATTTTGAACATGTTGTACACAAAAGCTAATATTTGTTGAGTGGTCATTCCATCGTGTACCTGTCCCCTGGAACAAACTTCTGTAGTGTCTCCAATTAAGCATGTCAGCTAACTCAAAGCAAATGAGACCACCACTGCAATAAACCAATGTAAATACTGGCAATTCCCAAAGTGGGAAAATCATTATGTGATGCTAGTATCCTTTCCAACACTTTTGGCAGTCTGATATCTGCAGGAACAGGGACTGCATGAACTGTTCCCAACACCCGTGCGTCAATGTAGAGCCGCACAGTGATTGCGCAGGTGCCTGCACAGCAGCTTGCAGGACCACAAGTTTCGATTGCAAGCTCTTTGCAGCATGGACCCATCTTCTGTCATGGCAGTCGTGTTTGACGCTCTTTGGGCATTAGGTAAGTCACACTTATAGCTCTTCTATGTAACTGCTGCCAAGAAACTATTAGAGGCCATGTGGGTGAGGCAATCTCTTTCATTGCTTCCAGCAGAAGCTGGTTCAAGGTTTTGAGCTACACAGAGCTCTTCATAAAAGTTTGCCTCCTCCCCCAAACAAAAGTTGACAAAGATTCCACACACACACACACACCCACACACACCCCCCACACACGTCCCACAACACACCCTGACTCTTTAAAATGCTGGGATTAACACTAACATTGCCTACAAGGAAACTATTGACTAATTGTCTGTCCTAGCAAAGGTTCCCAAACAGAATCACATACCTGACCACTAGGCTTCCACATGCCTAAGGTCATCAGGGATAATAATTCCACTAGGGATGTGACTTGTTGACTACCCAGTAAGCTACTTGACTAGTCACTTCCCTTCCTCCCTTCTCCCTGCCCCCCCGCTTTCCTGCCTCTATCAGATGCAGCAAGGCAGGGAGCAGGCTTAAAAGCTGGTTTCCCCCAGAACCATCTCCACAGAGAAGCAAAAGCGCAGTGGGGAAAAGGGCACGTAGGACGACTCAAGCAGGCCCTGCTCCGCCAGGTCCCGACTGCTGCACCTCTGCCTTTTAAGGGCAGAAGCACAGCAGGGAATCCAGGGTGAGCAGGGCTCTTGCTATACAGGCAGTCCCCGGGTTACGTACAAGATAGGGACTGTAGGTTTGTTCTTAAGTTGAATCTGTATGAAGTCGGAACTGGCACATATTGTAGGGGAAACTCTAGCCAAACATTTCTCCAGAGCAGAGTTTTATTCTCCCACACCTCACTTCCCTCAGTCCTTTTTCTCAGCAGACACCTCAGCTTGAGAATAAGCCGCTCCACATCTCCCTGGTCTGCTGGGGGGGGAGGGGCGCTAGCTTCGCGTCTCCCTGGTCTGCTGGGGAGAAGCAGCTAGTGCGAGGTTGCCTCACCCCGTTTGTAAGTAGGGATCCGATGTAAGTCGGATCCATGTAACCCGGGGACTGCCTG